TCTTCCCTTACCGGTTCGGAGAAGCCGTCCGGGCCGCTGCTGCCCCGGCGGTGCCCGATCCCCGCCGTTATCCCCTCCCGGTGTCCCGGTGCGGAGCCCGCCGGTTCCCCCGGTGTCCAGCCTGGCACCCCCCGGTACCCCGGGCTGCTGGCTCCCGGTGATCCCGGGGGGCCGGTTTGGGGGTCCCGTTCTCCTGAGGGAGGGACGCGGGCAGGGGAAGCTCCTCCGCCGGGGAACGGGCCCGGTGACACGGGGGGGTCACGGTGGGGAACGGGGGTGATTCCCCTTCCCACAAACGGCACAAACCCTCACCCCGGCCCCGGTACAGCCGGGATGCGCCGGGATCCGGCGGCTCGGGAAGCTCCCGGTGCCTGCGGAGCAGCCGGGCAGGGCTGTGGGGCCCGAGGGGGAGCCCCGAGCACCGGGAAAGGACCGGGGACGGTCGGAGAAAGCTGCTCGGCCTCGGGAATTGCAGGCGGGATCGCGGAGTTTGTGTCCTTGGAGCTCTTCCCCCGAATTCCCCGTCCCTGGAAGCGTCCAAGGCCGGGCCGGACGGGTCCCGGAGCAGCCTGGGGTGGTGGAATGGGATGGAATGGGATGGAATGGGATGGAATCTCTCGGGTCTCTTCCAACCCCAACCATTCCATCATTCCTTGTGGGAATCGGCCTCGAACAAGGTTCCTAAACCCCTTTTCCCTCACCCTCCAGCGAGGGGTGGCCATTCCCGATCCCCCCCGAGCAGAATTATCCTTCCCACCGCTTCCTGTTAACAGCTGTGAGGGGTTTTTTTAATGCGTTTTGGGAAGGATTCAGGAATCACAAATCCCCCTCTGCTGCTGCTTTCCTGCCCCTGTTTTAAATTCCAGATAAATTTGGCACAGATCGTGTTTTCCATCACTGAGTTTAAACCCTTTCAGCTCATCCCACCCCTGCGTGCGACGTGTGTCTCCTTGGCTCTATTTCCCCAAATCCATTTTATTTACCCGGCAAAGCAAAATAACAAATTCCTGAAGTCATCCCCCACCCCCTTTCCCACTAAACCATGGTGGGGTGGGGTTTTTTTTCACAATTTCCATGGGGAAAGGTCGTGCTGGGAATTTGGTGTGGGAGGATTTTGCCGGCCTGGTGTCAGGAGGTGAAAACCCCTCGGTGACTCAGAACTAATGTGTTCCTAAGCCCGAAAATATCATTTTAAACCCCTCAATGAAACTGTTTCTTGCAGGAATTACAAATTCTTCCAGAGGTGCTTCCCCCCTTGCTCCAGGGACAGAGGTGTCCATGATTTAAGGATGCTCTGACTGGAAACTGGGAGTCACTGGTTCCAGTTTGGCCATTTTTTTGTCTCCTCCTTCCCTTTCTCCCCTTCTCCCGTTCCTTCCCTTTCCCCCCTCTGGTCCCACTCAGCCCTTGGCTGAAGGAGGGGAGGATTAGTTATTTTTTGGCTCCCTTCAAGCCATCAGACGCTGCCAAAGCCCAACATGTGGAAGATCTTTCCTAAAATGTTACGTTTTGTTCCACGTCTGTCCTTAATTGAAGGGAAATGGAGGCAGGACTGGGTTCTGCAGGGACCCCGGAGGGTTTGGGATCCCTGTCTGGGATCCAGAGGGAGCAGGGCTTGGCTCGTGGGCCTCATCCATGTGATTCCTCCAAGCCCACGTCTCCCCTGGGTGAGGCAGCCGGGCGCCCACACGCGGGAGAGAACCCGGAGTATCCTGGAAAAAAAATGAATCCGAGTCGTGCTGGCAAATGCTGCGGATGGGGAACGGCTCCGAGTGCGTCCAGAACAGGTTCTGCCTGTTCACAGCAAACTGTTCTCTGAGAAAATAAAGCTGGAGAAAACATTCTGAGGAAGGGGGAGAAACAGCAGCAGCTTGGAGCTGGGAACAGGGTGGGAAGTCCCTGCCTGCCTGGTCCAAGGTTCCATCCAGCCGGGAATTCGCAGGGACCTTCTGGTGTAGAAACAGCTTCGTTTGCACCGTTTGGGTTTTGTACAAACTGATGAAAATCCTAAAATCCTGCAAATCTTCCCAGGCAGTGGGCAGGACGGGCTGCTGTTCCCAGGGAATCCCAGGGAGTGCTGGGGGTGTCGCCAGGGATGGGGAGCAGCACGGCGGGGCTGGCTGATCCCGGGAATCCTGCCTGGATCCCGCTCACCTGGCAGCAGGAGCAGCCCAGGAGCTCTCTGGAATGCCAGGATTGCCGTGTGCTGCCCTTTCCAGAGCCCACAGCTGCTGGGGGTGCTGCCCACGGATCAAGGGAGGCCTTGGGCTGGAGGAGACCCCGGAGCTCATCTCCTTCCATCCCCGGGAGTGTGCCAGGCCGGGCTGGACAGGGCTGGAGCTCCTGGGGCAGGGGAGGTGTCCCTGCCGTGGCAGGGCTGGCACTGCCTGGGATTAAGGTCCCTTCCAACCCAGACCAGTCTGGGGCTCAGCCCTGGGCGCTGCTGTCATTCCAGACTGGATTAACGTGCTCCCAACGCCTGTGTGAGCTGAGCCTAAACCCTGCCAGGCCTGCCTGGGCTCAGGAGCTCGCGCTGGCCCAAGCCACAGCCCAGCCTCCTCCACATCCAGAGCCATTTTCCAGAAGGAGGGAAGGCAAGTGCTAATTAAAACTCAGCAGCCCGTGGCACACACGCATTTCCCTGAGTTTGATGACAGCTCCCAAGGCTTCCAGAGGTATTTTTGACCATAAATAGCCCCTTGCTCCCTGCCTGGCCCGGGATGTGCTCCAGAGGCTGCGGCTGGGCCCAGCAGGACCCGGCATTCCCGAGCTCCTGGGCCAGCAGGGAATGATTTCCGTGCGTGAGCTTCCCCCAGGAGCTGCCGTGGTGTGAGCAGGGTGACACTGAGGGGACAGCAGGGAGGGCACTTCCCCTTTGCTCTGGCCTTCATGGTCATCGCTCTCAGTGCTGCTGAGCTGGGATTTCCTTCACTTCTCCTTGGGTTGGGATTTCCTCCTTCCCTCCTCAGCCGGGCTTCTCTCTGCGGTGACTTTGTGCTCTGCTTTCAAATGTGGGGTTTTTTCTTCCCTTTCTCAGATGAACCTTTCAAAAGCTCCTTTTTTTTGTTGTTCATTTGGGGCATTTTGATAATAAGTCAGCCCTGCTCCCTCTGGCATCTCCAGGCTTCCTCTGGGATGCAGGAGGTGTCTTTGGGATGGTTTGGGTTGGAAGGGACCTTAAAGCTCATCCCATTCCATGGGCAGGGACACCTCCCACTGTCCCAGACTGCTCCATTCCAGGGATGGGGCAGCCACAACATCCTTGGGGAGCTGTGCCAGGCCTCAGCCCCCTGTGAGCACGGAGGGGAGCAGGGAGTTCCTGTGGGAGGGATTTGGCAGCGGCAGCCTCTAAGCTCCTTATCTGTACACGGGAATTTGGACTGGGAAAATGAGGGATTTTTCTGATTCCTGCCAGCCCAGAGCCTCCTGCCAACCTCTGTCCCACAGCACCTGATGTTTCTGTATTAACATTAACCTGGGCTGGGTTCCCCTGCAGCTCCTGGGTTTATCTTTCCACATTAATCTGCTCCCGAGGCCGAGGGAGGCTGGATTTGCTGGGGTGACATCCTCCAGCTCCGCTTCCAGCCGAGATCCATCCCGGAGCATCCTCCCCTGGCTCCCTGCAGCCCTGCTGGCACTGGGGCTGGCTGTTCTGCTGATGTTTCTGTGGATCCACGGGGAAAAGGAGGCTCAGGGGAGCCTCCTTGCTCTCCACAGCTCCTGGAAGGGGGTAGGGCTCGGTCTGCCAGGGAACCGGTGACAGGAGCGGAGGAAACGGCCTCAGGGAGGCTGGAATTTGATATTAGTGCAAATTTTTTCCATGGAAAAGGTTGTCAGGCATTGGAACAGGCTGCCCAGGGCAGCGGTGGAGTCCCCATCCCTGAAGTGTTCACAAGACACGTGTAGGTGGCACTTGGGGACACAGAGGTGAGCTCAGGGTCCCACAGCTCTTTTCCAGCCTTACCCATTCCATGACTCCACGTGTGGCAGGGGGAAGGCAGAGGCTGAGTGTCCCCAGAGCTCCTGGAGGCAGGGATGAGGTGCCAGTGCATCCCTTCAGGCCTGGCTGGTGCTGGCTGGACACTCACAGAGCTGCCTCTGCCACATCCAGGGGAAAACCTGGTATTTTCCTGTGGATTCCCTCTCCTTTTCCTGCATGATTTGGCATCAAAACGCTGTCCCTGTGATGGCTGGTTAATCATTGCTGGAGCTGAGCAGCCCCAGAACCAAGCAGCTTTCATTTTTCCAGGATTGTTTCTCTCCAGAGTTTCCTATAAATTGGTTTTTCCCCCCGTTTAAGGTTGTTTTTGCAGCCATTGGGCTCTGACAGGAACGGGAGCTCCGATTCCTGGAAGGCAGAGGCACAAACCAGAGCTGGGAAACTCCAGCTCTCCATATCCTGCTGCATTTGTTCCCCTTGCCGTGGCTGATGTCAGCCAGGGAAAGCGTTATCCTGCAGCTGGGGAATCTGGGATCAGGGCAGGATCCGTGACTCAGGCCTGGGGGGGTCGTGTGGATGCTGAATCCACGTCATCAGCCTGAAATCATGGATTTATCCAGCTGATTGCACAGGGGATGGTTCCTGGATGCAGCGGCAGGAAATCCTTCCTCCCCCTTTTCCCTGCCACTGCTTTCCTCCTGGGAAAGAGCAAAATGGGGATGAGCTCAGGCAGCCTGCCTTGTGAAAGCTGATTCATTTCTTTAGCACATTCTGGTTTTTTTTTTCCTTTTTCCTCCTCTCCCCCATCCCTGCATTTGCCAGAGCCTTTTGCCAGGGCTCCCAGCCCCATCCCTGTGGGAATTCCGAGGGCTGGGGAGGGA